ATTCAGTGCCACAGCCACTTGGCTGAACCGGGGGCGCGTGCCTCCCTCCCACCGTGCAAATGTTTTTTTTTTTTTTTTTTAATTATTAGTTGCTTAGATTATATTAACTAATATTAATATTATCAGTTACGAATAATCATAAATTAATGATATATATATATAAGATTTTATAAATAAAATGTTCACGTTGGTTGTTGTCTTAAAAATTTTAAGTAATAAAGTTGTTTAAAATCGATTTTTAATCATGAATAATAAAAAAAAAATGAGTATTACCTATACTGCAGTCTAGCTGCAGTCCCAAGAATATAATAGGAATTCAAATACTAAATATTTTATAAACGTTTGTTTTAAAAGGGTTTAATGATAAAATTAATGATCCCGTCTACTTTTTAAATTTTAATACGATATTTCTAACTCGGTATTGATATTACAAAAATTAATTTCAATAACACAAATTTAAGTGTCTCTGCGGTTTGTCGATAAAATTTCTGATCATAATAAATATACATATTATGTAATATTTCATATTTGTATTCCGTGTTATCTGTGAATGCTATATGTTAATTAGTATATATTATGTTAATTAGTAGTCAAGCGAGCAACAAAATATAAAAAAAAGATGTATCAAAGTTGTTTAAGAAAAATTTCTTTCTGGTTTTGAGTATTGCGATAAAACTTTAAATATATTTTTTATTAACACGATAACTGCTAGTATACCGAGTTATTATCCAAGCCCGAACAACTCCATTTATTTTTCTTCAATAAGAAATTTCTTCAAATTTTAATTTTTAAATTTTTGAAATTTACTTGATAATTATATTTTTAAATACTTTTGTTTTTTAAATCATTAAAGGAGTGTCTTAGCTAAAGCAATACAACTTGTTTTTTTAACGAGAATCACCTATTTTCCTTGGAAATTGTTAATTAAATGACTTTTTTTCAAAATATTAAAAAATTGAAATTCGAACGAGTATATTTTTTGAGTTCTTTTAATTTGTAAGCAATTTTTGAATAATAAATAACTTAGTATTATACAACCATTTTCAACATCTATTATTATTAGTATATAATATACACATTTTAATAACTCTAAAACTTCTCGTTCGAATTTCGGTTTAAATACCTCTAAGTCTTAAACATTTCATCCACTTAATAATAATTATTTGAAAAATAATATTACATCATCATAAATTACTTCTTAAATAGTATAAAAATCTTAATAATTGAAAATATGATTCTTAACAATACCTATTTAAAAGTTCCAAAAATCATAATTAAAATTAATTAATTAATAAAGTGAAAATAATGAGGTTCAGCATGCTTGGTGAATCGCTTTGTGTATATAAAGTATTGTATCCATTTCATCAGTATATACATATTCCTAGATACACACGTGGTATTAATTACCACCTAATTATCATAATTAATGTATAAATATAATTGATATATATTATACATGATAAACACGGAAATACAAATAGCTGTTTTAATAAGGTATAAAATAATTGCATATCATATTGGATACGTACAATATTATGTGACTAGCTGCCTACTTATTGCATGTATATATTAACCGCGACTTGGCAAAACTGGGGGTCCTTGGTGACTTAAGCACTGCTAAAATTATAAATTAGAATATTTTCAATAATTCAATGATTACTGAAAATATACTAATGTACTATATTTTACAAAAACATAATATATATAGAATATACATATTACCTATATAAATTGTTGTGTTGAAAAATATAGAATACAATAATTGAAACTTGGTAATTATAAGTATAATATATTATTTGTGTTATTATAAAATTATTATTTAACTTATATTAATTTATATGTATAATATATAAATGTTTCTTTGATTTTTTTTCTATTTAATCCACCTTCAAAATTATTTTATTAATATAGTGAAAATGAGTGTTTTTATTAATAAGGTCAATTAGTAAGAAATAATTTTAACCAAGACTTAGCTCTCCTCCGCTCCAGATTAAAAGGACTAGTTACGTCTATGCACGGCAATGTCATACATAACTGCAATTTGCAGCAGCTACCTACTCGAACAAACCAAGAAAAGTGGAAAATCGCACGCGTATGCCACCTGTATGTGTAATATATGTATATTTATTATATATACCTAAACAAGCGTATGTTTATATTGTGTGTGGGAAATTAAACGCACTGTGTGTGAATATATCCTTTTTGAATGTCTACAGAGTTCTCACGGTTTTCTTGAGAGCCAGCTGTTTATAAAAAGGACTCGGACCGCGAGGACCAGCTGCGGCGAAAAGGTCCTGCGATGATGCATGTACCCGTGTATAATATAGCCATACGTGTGTGTGTATACGTTTAAGCCAGGCTCCCTTATCAACCATTATCTTATCCTCAGCTCACTCGTCGTCTCAGCTGCTGTATATGCCACCCCCACACTGCGTCCTTTCCATCCTGCACCCGTAGAATACCGTAGAAACGTCGACGCATTTTAACCTCCTGCAGACCCTCTGCGCCCATCAAATTTGGTACCCGAAGCCGTTTATTCTTTTATGTGTGGTGATATATATAAAAAATAAAAATGTATATCATATACTACATTATGTATAGATAGATTTTAAGAAGGTACCAATAAAATATTTCTATAAATGACAAAACGACACCACGCTGATTGCATATATATATATATCGTACTCTTTATACTTTTATCTATACATAATTTATTAATATGTACCCATATTAGATAACAACTTCAAATTTTCCATTTTCTTTTGATCTATTGATTATAATTGCCTTATACTTTTAATGTTTATTTTTAATTTTATTAAAATGTTTTTAATTCGTGTTTAAAACGTTGTTTAATACATGACGACGAATTTAATAGACCATTAACTAAGTTTTATTGATATCCATTCCGTTATAAATTAAAACTGAATTCTTCGAATTAATGTTAATTTAATTTTAATCGGACGTACATACTTTTGCATTGTACAAAATACGAAAAAATTATTGAAAAGCAACTCTCGTTTTAATGTTGAAAGTTTAACATAATCTTATTTTGTACAACATATATTTCGATTAAAGAATAAAAACTAGATACTATTTTAGCAATAAGTAAAATTGTTTAAATATTCTATTCGTTTAAAAGTATTTATAAGAATAGAAGTAATAATATATTATTATACTAAATAAATATATTTATATTAATAAGGCAATTTGGAAGTAAAGTTGAATTTTGTCGATTTTAAATTGGATATAAAGTTTATCCTGCGACTCCTCCAAGGATACTGAAATTCTCTGGGACGTTAAAAATAATAGGTACCTAATAATAATAATAACAGCAAAATTTTTTTATCAATTATTTATTCTATAGAACATCTGTCAATGCCAGTTATACCCACATAAGTAACTATTATTTTATGTTTATTTTATTTTATCAATTTATACTTATATTCGCATTGATCCTAATATCGATGGTTTTAAATGTTGATACTATACAATATTAAATAAAATAATATTTAACCTACTGACAAGAAAATAATTAAATCGTTTACTTAATTAAACTATAACAAAGAAATAATATAACATATTTCTAATTATTATATTATTCTTTCCATATCCGTAATTTATGACTCGTAAATATTCTATACTATATTTTATAATCAATGATATTACGATATAGTATTGATATTGTTGAAATATTGAATAGGCACATGACTTATATTTTATAACATTTAACAATGTAAGTAAATTTAATAAACAACTATAGTTATAATAAGCACCTACCTCGTAAATCATCCACTTAAGAGTTAAAAGTTACATATAGACACGTAATTTTCTCGTTCCAATTAAAATATTTACTTAGACATTTTTATAACTTTTTTGATGATAAACACAGAAGCAACTTATCTCAAACAAGTAAAAATTATTATGTAGGGAAACTATATCTCTATAATATGTCACAATGTCCTCACGTATTATATAAAATATAGTGATCACTGCCAACAATAATAGGTTCATCCGCATAATCGTTTTTGTATGGAAAATTTCAAGCTTATTTCAACAAATACATAATTCATCAAACTTCTGTTGTAATTTACGAATATTTCTAAAAATTTAAATAGGTACCTACCTATTTAATTATTTATGGTTTACGCTTTATAGTTGTGGCTAATGTTTTTGTTTTAATTTTGAACACAGTTTTTTGATGGTTTCTCATTTAAAAAAAAGATGTGTTCATTCTTCAATGTCAATGCGATGTATCGTTTTACCATTTGACCACAAGTATATCTCGTAAAAATATCCGAAACCAAATGTTTTCGGTCCGTTTTGGAAATCATATACTGGAACGGAACACCTGATTTGTGTCGATAAATTTAAGAAAAAAAACCTTTACCGTAAGGGTGGTGTTTCGTGGAATTCGTTTGACATTGACTTTAACTCGCGAGCCACAACCGTGACAATAGCTCGCTATATAAGGGTAAAATGTAACGTACAATTGGTATTGTGTATATGTATATACCTGTTTGTATATAACATAAATGTATTGTATATACACGTGTGCACTTGAACCCGAGTTCCTGTTTCGGTTTTATGTTGTTTATTTTATTTTTTTTTTTTATTATATTCAAAAATATAAAAATTATCGAGGACATAGTTTTTGAACTCTGTAGACACCAGAATGTTCTGATTATCCTTAACCATTATTATAATACTACCTAACAGATATTATTTAACATTTTCATTTGTTATTTGTTAGTGGTTTTAAATATGAATAGATAATAATACAGCTTATACAGCTTAAATTTGTATACATTAAAAATTAAATAAAAATTTATAAACTTGTAAAATATATATTTAAATTATTTTTCAATTTAGACAAAGCTTATACAATTAACTATACAATTTAAATTAGATATATAGTAGCATACCCAGTTTTAATAATTAGTAAAAAATTTACTTATTATTAAAGAAACAATAATAGAAATATGGAATATAATAATCATGGTTATCCATATGTATAATATTATTTATTATAGATTTATTATATTGATAGTTATTACTTATTAGTTATTATTAAAGATATCTACCGAAGTGTTGTCGCTGTGGATAGTTTCTTCAGCAAATAGACATATCCTTGTATTTATTCGTTTGGTGTTCATTTGTTCATACATAACTTATTACCATATTATTGTATCACCGATTTATAAATTGTAAGACTAAAAAATAAAAAAAATAATTAAATATGGATATACTTGTAATATACAATTAATTTACTATACTTGAAGCAGACATTATGAATTACAGTGGAGCGTCAATTATCCATAGGTACGTCAATTTAATTATCGATATAAAAAAATATATTTTTATTTTATGTTTTTAAATTTAAATTAAATTTACTACGCATCTACTTTTACCAGTATATACATATGAATTTTATCATATTAAACTTTTACGTTATACATTCAGTACATAAGTTTTAGTTTTAGATATATAAAACATAGTGCCTTTGTAATCGTTGTTTGATTATCCGCACCCTTTCCCTTGGTTTCAACGAATACGGATAATAGACGCTTTACTATATTTAATATGTATATAATTTTTGAATTATATAGGTAATATACACATAAATCACGTAGTTATTAATGATTTGTGCGGAGTGCAGACCAAAAATGTAAATTGATCTGAATCAATAAAAACAGATAATTATTACAAAATTATTGTACAATACGTATTTGGCACATAGTTATCGCTGTTGATGTTTACAATAAACTATATTTATTTAGACACAAGGAAAGATACTTTAAAATATAAATACGATATTTTGTACTGTCGAAAGATTATAAAAGACGTTTTGCTGGGTTTTATTGTATTAACAAACACTGGCGGCAATGTAAAATCAAAGACCCACCTTAAGTTATATATTTACATACTATATCTTAGCATTATTATACAATAGGTACCACAAAACTTAGATTAGAGCCGAGGAGTGCAAACGTGTTTGGTCGTTCATCGTGTATTCCTGTATTATATTAAGATAGGTATTTTTGTTTTTGGACGTTTTACAATGCTGTAAATTGTAATCATACATAAGTATTGTTAAGTAACGTATTTCTGGAATAAGTAATTTTAAAAAATAAATAAATAAATAAATAAAAAGTGGGACTAAATTACGATTTTTTTTGAGTATAAGATTAAAAAAGTGATAATTCTTTTTATAAATTAACATTTATATAATTTTAATAAATAACTACTCAAGGAAAACATATTTTATTTTTATTTCACATAATTTTGTTTATTCAAGACGTGTTTCTTATTCCGTCTTCGTTGTTTGTTATAAGTTATAACTTATTAATGATTCTGTTTATATTATAATAATAAATGGAGAATAAAAGTAAAAATTATTACTTTGTGCTCGCAAAAAAACGACCTCTGAAAAATAATTTCTTCTTCCCATTTCAAATGCAGTGCTGCCTCTATAAATCAATATTGATTTTTTTCAAATATTTTTCTCGGTAAGCTCTAGAATTTAGACACATATTTTGAGATCCTCGCGGACATTAACCATATCAAACTTCTATAAACACACATTAAGTCATAAAATTCAATTTAATCGTTTATAGTGCTTTCTATAAATAATTAATTAAAAATAAGTGCCTAATAAGTAACAGTGATTAGTTTTTAACGTTCTTATAAGTACATTTACACTGTATATTTATACATGTTAATAATATTATTATTTATTACTACTTATTTTTTAAATTAGATTGTAACACTATTATACATATATTATACTTATAAACTACATCATATTTATTATTAGACTTTATTTTTTGTGGTACCTAGTAGTTATATAATTAAGTTAATTTTTAAATTCTTATTAAAACGAGTTCTGTTTTAAAAATGTAAATGAAGGCTCCAACAAATTCCTTTTTATTGAATATAGGAATTGAGGAAGTTAGCAAATTCCCTTTTAAAAGAAATTGTAATATATAACACTTAAAATAACATATATAAATATATTTATAGTTTATACATTCAATATTCACCGAGAAATTTTAATATAAATGTCAAAATGTCAAATATCAAATAGCTACCACATACGTATATAACGTCATTGGTTTTATAACATATTAAATATTAACATACAAATATAATAAGCAGTTAAACTCTTTTAAGTTTAAAAATACACCTCTTAAAATATACTTCTTCATAAGTCATTCATATTCTACGTTTAAATGCTCCAATATTAGAGAACACGTACTTAAAAAAATATCAATTATTTTACAAACAAATATCAATAATTTTATTATAATGATAATGTTTATATGTATCATAAAGTATTGAAGATTATTGTCTAAGAGCACATGAATAATATGACTGTTTACCGCTATCACTTCTTATATATATATAACTCGTATACCAGTCTATAGTTAAACAGTACATCTAATTATTTTTAGTATATTTAGTATATTTAGCTGATTCGGCATCATAAAAAAATTTACAAAATAAAGGTGCCTATATTATAAAACTTAACAACTTAGAAAACTCAACTTTGAAGCTAACATGGCAAGTGATATGGCCCACTTAGTTATTTTAAGCCAAGTACAGTTGTGCTTTATAACAAAAACAAGTAATAATAAGTTAAGCTAAGATTTTAATGTTTTCAAAAATTACGATAAATAATACAAAATGCCCAAAAAATCTTAAAAACTGCACTTTAAAATTGCGTCATGTATACATTTCTTATATTTCGCAAAAATTATGCAACGAAAATGAATTTTACTATAGTAATTTTTTTCTGAACATACTTTAAAATACTTAAGACATTAAAATAGAACTTTGTTATTATCGCTTCTTCGAAATTATTTTTTTATAAATATTAAAGATATTAAAACAGTGATCGATGATCATTTCATGTCTATAGTATATGCCGTTCGACTCTGTAGATCAATATACTACATGTGGGTACCTCGACCTGCAATATGCTAGATTTTATTACAATAATGAATGTCTGAACATTTTTCTAAAAACTTTAACTTGTCAAAATATACAAAAAATCATTAAAATATAATTAAGATTTATGATCTTTTAAAACACATTTCTCACTTATGAGGAGACTACATTTTAAAACATCAAAGAGAAAAATCAAAGTTCTGATAATAATAATAAAAAGTAAATAATTTAAATTTAAAAAAGAAATCACCCTAATTATTATAAAGTTTTATTTTATCTTGTATCAAAATCTAGGTACTTATATGATGTGCCGCGAAGTAAAGATTATAATTAATAATCAAATAAAAAAAAAAAAAAGAATACCACTTTGAGAACAATTAATTATAACATACATAGCATATATAAATGTTATTTCAATGAGGCCAAGCCAAACTCGACATCCTTATCGTTCCCGTTATTCAAATTGGATTTTTCCGTGCACGCTGATCGATATATAGATTTCTACGGTTTTACATTCATATTATAATCCATTTCAAAACGCGAACTTTGCACTAGTAGACATGTTAACATTGACTTTTCGACTCCCTGTGTACGCGCGTAATCCGTTACTGGACTGTCGACGATTAATTATAGATCACGTGATCGATAAAAAAATTTTATTGCACAGTTAATATGTTTCGTGCGTGAAGCACGTGCGCTTGTGATTTTATTATTTATTTATATTGTATCTTTTTCGTTTTTTTTTTTTTATCGCCAAATTTTTAACATTTTTTTTCTTCAACAAAATAATAATATTAATTAAAAGAAAATTAAAAAAACACTCCGTAGATTTACATTGGAATTTGTGCCTTATGACGTGATTGATTGCATATCTTATAACGTATATCATTACGTAAAAAAAATAAAAATAATCTTAATATTGTGCATAAGTACCTACATTACATACGTGTATATTGTATATTGTACATATCATAATATATGCACAATATATAATGTACATTTCACGCTTAATTATAGATACATACCGCAACAACATTTTTCTGCATTTTTCAGATGTTCTTTTGTTTTTAACTGTGCGTGTGCTGCCCAGTGGTGGTCGTTGCATTAGTATACGTACATTATATTAGGCGTTATTATACGTGTAGTCTTGTGGCGCTGTATTATCTTTTATTAAGTATAAGCTTTGGAAAATTAGTCATTGGATGACAAAAATTTTTATTTTTTTTTTTTTTTTTTGTCTTATAATAATTAAATACTAAAGTTATAATACGATATTAATAAATGTTGTTTTATGGTTTACAAGTGTTTACAAGATGTTTATTTTCACAATCATTTATCAATTTTAATTACTTTTATGTATTTTAGCATTCGTATGTTAAATACGTCATTTTGTCCTAGCTTGGGATTGGTAGAGGAACTCAAAAATATTTTGCTTGACTTCAGCTGCGCAAGCTTCTATTTTTTCTGCATTCAATGAGAAGATATTTATTATTAATTAGACTTCATTGCATAATGAACATTTAGTTTTTTTTTCTTTGATCATTAAAGATAATCGAGAAAACAAGTCTTGTTATATTAGGTGTATACAAGACAAGTCATTGACCACGATCATGGCCTTAAATTTATCCTTCCGATTGTGCGCGTCTGATCGAACTCTGATTTTTTAAATGTTTAAGTGTACCACATAAACATCATATTATTCAGTATCCTGCTTCCATTAAAAAATTTAACTTCTTTTTTTCAAACGGCTAGTTCTTTCTGTCTTACTGCTATCAAACTGACTACTGCAAACATCTATTATATTGTGAAGTGGGCGATAATTGATCTTATTGAAATAATGATGATGAATCAATGCGTGTATAATCCTATAAAATTAATAAAAAATGACATATTATGCATTATACAACAATGGACATAGAGTTTTCTAAACCTAAAATTACTGCACTTATGGTACTCGTTAAAGAATAATGTAATAAAGTAGCAAATAGTGGCCAGAATTTTGCTTTTTTAGGTAAAAGTAGATAATCTGTTAAATAGGAGACTTAACTATAAACTAGGATCACTTATAAATTCAATTTGCATACAATTATACAATTTTATTACATAGTTATGTCTTATACACATAATATACGAGTATTTGCAAAAAACTGAAAATAATTTTAAAATTTTGAATTTTGGGAAGGAGAAGCTGCATCCTTACAGTCCCTTTTACAAACTACGCTACTAATCAAACGAACCTTACCCAATCGTTGGATATGAACTTGTTCGGATGTTTTTGAGTTTGTTCCAATAAATCCACTCTTGTGAACACTTTTATATCTCGTACATTTTTTAATGGCATTTTTATAGTGACATTAACAATATTTTTATAACTAAAATCAAGTTTTTTAACTTTATTTAGTAAAACTAGAATATAGAATACTTTCATGAGTCACTGAGTTAGAACTAAACTTTGATAGGTACTCACTTAAAATGTGTAGTTATCAACCGACTTATAATATTGGGCAGGGCAGACATATATTTACATAATAATTGTAAGACGACGCTTCAAATTTTATTTAGGACAATCCTATATTTCAATGCATAGACCTTTAGACTTTTTAGTTTAAAGTCATGAAAAAAATACCTACTTACATTTTTTTATGAAGTTATATCTTATCGTTTTTGTCATTTTGTAAACTAGTGACTCATGTATTATTATAAACAATACTTTTAATCGTGATCTTCTTGGATTTTGTTATAACTCTGTATAATAATAATGTGTTATAAAAGTTAATTTTCTTCTACTATTATAAACTGTGATAAAACGTCTAAATTAATTATGACTTAGATACCTATAATCTACATGAGAAAGATAATTATAATTTCTTAATTTAATTTTATTCTATGATATAGGTATCTATACCAATTTAAAATTAAATTAAGGTAACAAATATCCCATAATAATATAATATGAGCGTATTTATATTATGTACTATATACAATATAATTTAAAATTTTTATTTTTATTTTTTTTCATCATAATGTGGTAAATATGTAATTAAAAAATATTTTGATAATAACTTTAATAGGTATTAACTTATCTACATAGTATCTTATATAGAGACTTATATTAAGTTAAATTCTCTAAGTTAAAAACTCAAAAGTACAAATTAAAAATTTAACAAACATGACATAAATAAAAAATGTTAAGTTCACAGTTTTGTTAATATACACACATTTTGTTTTACATTTTTTATTAAATTATATGGCTTGTGGAATAAATTTTTAGTAAAAAAAAGTTGTCCTACATTATGCAATTTGAATAACGACAACCCTATAATGTAATAATGTGCGTGATGCACTGATGTATTCTTAACTCTGTATGTCCTATTACAATCGTGAAAAAGGTTCAACACGCACGCCGGACAGCAATGAGAATAATAAAATTGATTATAGTACGTACCTATAGCTATTTATAGTATAGTCGTCAATTTTCGTCTTTGGGAAACATTTCTTTGTCGTGTAATAATAAATTTACTACAACATTATTTGTTTCATTCGAAACCAATACAAATAAACGATTTAAACCCGACCGACTTTAAGAGCAGCCGTAACACGGCGATCCAAGACGCGACTGAAGTGGTGTCCTTAGCCCGTTCAGGTCTTTCTAAGACATTTTTTTTTATCTTATCAATCAACTGGGCCAATTTATTTTTGCATTTTCATGTTTAACTTTAATTTTGTGAAGCATATTACACCATATAATTTGGTTAAGTATAAATTATTCATTTGTTTTGTTTATCGAAGTATTTGCATGGTATTCGATCCTACACAAAAAAAAAAAAAAAAATTATATTATTACACAAAATTATTATTGTAAACATAATATATATAGGTACACATTATGTAGTGATCCAAGTACACTGTAATAATTGTTTAAAAAATATATATTTAAATAGTTATATTTTCTATCCCTTACTATACAAAAAATTATAGTTCTTATTTCTTATATATCTATTAACTGGTTTGATTTATCGGTACTCATGGTTATAACAATAATATTATAATACAATTTCAAAACCATTATTGTTAAGTACAATTTTGTAGTATTTCAAAACTACGATCTCACGGCGTCGAGATCAGATAACTTAAGGTACACCATAATGACGGACATTTTTCCGGTTAAATATTATTTTACTATCGCATGAAGGCTTAAAAACGAAATATAACATTAATTATTCTTACATGAATTTGACAAACCGCATAATCTTCTCAATGGTCTGCGGTGAATAGTTTGTCTATTGAATGATAACAAATTTTTATATCAATAGATTCCAAACAACATTGTTCATTTCACTGAGGTGCTGTGTCCAGTATTAACATTCAAGGATCACGATTAACAAATGCACTTACATATTATGGTTTGATAATAACGTGTATATAATAACGAGTCGAACAGGATGTTTATTTTTTCTGTAAATACTCATAAAAATGGAGACATGAAATAAAGCAGATAAACTGTGTAAAAATACTAGAATGGAATTCAAACATCTATAAAAGTATATATTATTTAACTTACAAATTATGTACAATATTATATTGATCAGAAGTTATTTTTTTACAAACAGTCTATTATTATTTATTGCTAAATCAATTATAAATTAAATATATTATAATCTCACTTACATAACTCTTGAAAATTACTAGTTAGTAATTAGTAAATTTATTTATTTGTAAGCTATATCAATCTCACTTATAAGTAACAAAACTAACAATGAAAAAAATCAAAAACAGCAACTATAGTAATTTTGTTCGTGAAGTTTATAATAAATTAGGATTTTTTTGGAGAGCTTTTAAAACATGAGTTTGTCAAAACAGGTGTCTTCTGATTTGTACGACTTGCACGTTTTGATGGGCTCACTTTTTTTTTTTTAGAACTATCATCCCCAGACGCTAAAACATTTAAAAACAAGTAGCTATTTAAGTATTGATATGATTGGATACAATTACATGAAAGTTAAGATATTTACCGAAACTACTGGATTTTACTGGTGTACGATTCCCACGAATTGTTCTACCTCGTTTAGTAATTGATGTAGGTGTTTCTTAAATAAATAATAAATTATTACATAAACATTTTAATAGCTTATATTATTTATTCAATTTACTTGGAGATGGTTTTGTAGGTGAATCATCATGTTCAATTGTCGTTTCACTGCCAGTTTCTTCATGAGCAAAACTACTCTGTAAACATTTGGTATTTGAACAAAAAAAAGTGATTATACAATCATACGTATAAAATAAGCTTTTATTTAAATTGTAAAACAAAGTTACCTCACTACGAGGACTCAATACAAAATCATCAATAGTTGATACATCTTCAGTCTTTTTTATTTTTGGAGAACTTTCAATTTTACTAACATCTATTTTTCGTTTTCGATCTTTTTCTTTGAATCCTTCAGCTCTTGTTTCTTCTAGTAGTCTCTTTTCTTCTTGTTTTTGACGATCTAAAGAAGTTTTGATAAAAATTATTTTAAATGTAGATAAAATAATTTTTTTTGTTCTTACATTTGCTTTCAATTTCATCATCATCTAAAAGTAACGAAACAACTTCTTTCGGTTTTAAGGTATCAGGTTTTAGATTACCACCACTAATAACCATTCTTTGTATCTATTAACAGTTTTAGTGAAAAATTTGTCAGCAATATTGTTTATCATAAAAAG